AACATGAAAACAATTGCACGTTACATTCAAGAGCGTTGATGCGCGTTTTTGTGTCTCATTAAAAGTTGTTTACAATTCAGATCGTTTCGTTAGAGATGTTGCTCTTAGCCATTTTAGAGCCATCTTAGAGATGATGCTTCCAATATCTTAAAAGTTTCGGAATGTTACGCAAAAGTGTATTTTGCAAACTTAAAAGTTGGCTCTGTGTTAAACTGCTAGAATTTGAGGAGTTCCAGTCGGATAGATCCTGATCTAGGCGGGTAAGAAAACAAGATGGATCGAAATTCGGAAAATTTTTACCGACAAGTTTCTTCACTTGTTCCCCTTCTGCTACTCTTTCTTCACTTTTATTTAGTCGATTGAAATTGTTTGTGCCATTTTGTCGATGAAATTGATAGCGCACGGCAATGCCTATAGCATTTTTGCTATTACTGCAGCAATATCAAATCTAATGGTTTCTGAAATTTGGTATTGCTAATTGTTAACGACTCATAAAAGACAATAAATTTCAGTTATGAAGCAATTACCGAATCGAACCATTCATTTATCTACCAGAGAATACAGAAAAGTGTGAATACTATATTAACCGATCAAATCCAATTCGTAAGCAAAATCAATTATGCAACATTCAAGTTCCTATTTAGTTAGTCAGTTGCAATCAATCAAATGACAGACACAACTCAGACCATCCACCTCACAACGGGGACAAATAGATATTCTGTTGGAATACTTCAGCTATGCAGAACCACGTATCTTGCAGAGCAGCATAGAAGATAAGAAAATGATTCCACTGACTCATTGTCCTTCTCCGTTTCGCTTTTCCCACTAAAGCTTCCATCTTGTTGTGGATGGATCCCTTATTCTTCCTTTTCACTTACTGCAAGGTATTTCTTCATGGATTCGCACCAAAAAACCAACAAACCAATCTGGCACTATTTTTGATTTGTGTTCGGAAGGGGCTTCTCCCGGCGAAGAATTCCGCTGTGGCCTCGTGAAGGAGTCTCTGTGAAGATTTCTGATGAATCACCTCCCCTGCGGATGTATTCCTGCGAAGGAGGGGTTCCTTGAAAGGAATACCCAGCAAGGTCTGCAGATTTTGAAGCCTCCGCAGGTACTCATTCCCCATTCTGTATTCGTGCCTTGAGGAATTAAACTTTGGAATATGACAACGCAGACTGCTTCAAGCCGTGTTTTGCGAAGATAAATGGAAAACCATCCAGATTTTTCATCGGAAGAGGACGAAGAGTCACTCTAAAAAAAGAAGGATCTGACCGTCGTATCACCGAGACATATGGCTTGGAGCAGTTGAATGAATTGGTGTGCGGTAAAAAGTGTATTGATCAGCTCATTGCTGTGTTTATAAACTCAGAGTTGAATTTTTTATTGTTATTATTATTGGTGCAATGTTGCCTTGCTCTTTCTTCATTAGTGCTATCAAATTTTTAATTAAGACATCCAACCAGTGATGCCCGAATCAGAAATATTAACTCTGCCAAGGTTCCACAGTCCTGAAAATTCTATTCCAACTGCAGCTACAGCTCCACTTTTGCAGAAATTGATCTCTAACTCCAGTTGCGATTTCGCGTTTTTCAAATTTTCGGTTCTTGCTCCGAGATCGGCTCCAAAATTTGCTACACTCCATTTCGGCTCTGAAAAAAAACTAATTATGCAGGTCTTAGCTCTGGCATTTGAATGCTACAGTGATATTTTCTTTTGATGGAGCCAAAAACTTTTTTGGCAGGAGCATCGGCATCATTGCTTAATGCACACACATGCAAGGTTAGTTGTGATGAATAAATTAGTTGGGAGTTGTGGCGATGAATGACTGCTAATTTACTTATCTGCATTTCACGAGGATCACTGCGGGGGCCCTTATGGGTAAGGGGGTTAACTTGAGAACAGAGGCCTCCGCAGAGGGGTTCTTCCACGATCTGACTTCAATAGTCGTTTTTTTTTCATTTATTTTCAATCACTCGTTTCTGTTTCCGTCATTCATATTGAACACTTTACGGCACCAGCAACGCTTGGAACCAGTAACACATTCACTTGCATTAATATCATTATTACATCTTCCAAAGTGATTGTAAAATTTAATGGAAACTTTTCATTAATTAAAAAGCTTCATTATCGGACAACGTTCTGGGTGAATATACCACAATCAAACATCTCAAAATATCGCGGAATTACGCTGTTCTCGTCTCACAATGAATAAGTGAACTCTCAGCATGGCAGTTCATTTTTTTCGTCATAAAAATACAACGAATTTCCATCCGAAAAAGAAACTCGAGTATATGTTTGGTTCGCGCAAATATGTTGGAGTTTTTTTCGATCAGTTTACTGACCGACTTTTGCACGCAGATGAGCACCTAATAAGGCAGAAAAAACGAACATTCAAATGGGCATAATTCCCATCACATCTCTGTGCTCGACACTCATCAATACTTTTCCATTATGAAGGACAAACTCAACGGGCTAAGAACGTATTGAGGCTTCTCAATTGTCTCAAAAATTCTGTGCTATCTCGCTTACAGTTTTTTCGCTGGATCAGATCGATACAGGCGACAAATGGAATATGTGAACCTTATAACGGACAGCAATATTGAGTCGCATGCAAAAGGACTGATTTCATAGCTGTCATTTCGTTTGATGCGAATAATGAGGAATATCAAAAATTCATCGCAGTTATGATAATTCAGTCTAGTTAGCTAATTATAGCAAAATCCTGTGCCTATACAGCAAATACTTCATTCAGTTCCATAAAGTGAAATTACAACTGCTCATTCCATTTTCTCATTTCAGTGTATGGCTAGATTGTTTGCATTTGAGCAGAACCTCTCTCGGGACAATGCTTTTGCTTCTGTTATACTTCATTTTGCCGAGCAGAGTGTGAGAGATGTTTTAAAAAAATTCCCTAAAAATTGATTTTCTCATCACAACTGTGTCATCTTCAAACGTTGCTATTGTGCTGTGCATGTGAATGAAATGCTAATCAAACGCAATTTGTGTTTGAATTGCGCAATGGAACGGCAGCTTCGGAATCTTCCCTATAGAAAATCGTTTTCTTTTTTTTTTCACTTCTCAAATTCGTTTCCTTCTACATGTTCGGCCGTCATCGACAATTCAGTTGAAGCAGTTGTATTGATTTCTGCACATTGCACATATCGTATTGCACGCTCCCTTAATAAACTGCATGCAAATCACGATTTCATGGATGTGTTGGCCAGAGGAATCTTCTTTACTTGTTAGATAATGGTTGAGAAAATGTGTTGAGAATGAGAATATGTTGAGAAAACCGAAAAAAAATTGTTCGGGACTTTTGAAGTGAATTTGTCATGTTCTAGAGGTAGTTGTAGTTTCAAAATGATTTCGCATGACATCGCAGTGTTGTTCTCAAATGCCCTGAAATCATATTTCCTTAGAAGCAGTTCACAAGTGTCAGGCGCTGAAGCATATGCCATAGTGGTAAATAAAATGGGAATCAATCTTCACACCAACGTAGAACGCTGATGTTGAAAATCTCACTAAGGCTGTTTAATTTTTCAGTTTATCAACAAATCAGTCAAATATTTTCGAAAAGTTATGTTTGGTGATCATCTTTGGATACGAGGATGATTTTTCCTTTATTTGTTTATCATCCTTTATTTATTTCCTTTCTCATCCTTTATTTGTTTCAAGCACAGCAAAAACTAATCAGCGCAACTTCTCATAAATATCAAAAATGCAACGCAGCTAATTACACACAAAACAATCAATATTTGAAACACAACAAACTCATCAGATGCACATCGAACGGATGCGGCAGAGGAGCGATTAAACTGTCTCTGATTACAAGTAAACGAGCTCTTTACTGATATTCACTACCGAACTTATTTCTCCGACACTTTCCAATAACACATCAGAATGTGAACGCATGCTCAAATAGTGATGAAAACAAAACACTGATTTTCAAAGTATGCATTCTTCCGAAGTTATCATCTCACATTAAATTAATCAGAAAAATCACTTAAACACCGCCAAAACTGACTATGAATCATAAATTAGTGCTTCAAATGATTTTGTGCTTTCTGCATCGATTCTTCGACAAACTTTACCAGAACAAGGTTTATTGAGTTGTAATGTAAGTAATATTTTTGTAATTTGCAGTGGATCCGCACTGCACAACCCGGAATGTATATACTGAGGAATGGGTGGAAAAAAGAATTCGGGAGGAGGGGAGGACTGAATTGAGGGTCAAATTTTGTCGTCTTCATGAACACAATATTCTCGGGGAGTGGAAATGTAACTGCTTTAACTTGTATAATTCTTTTAATATGTCATCAGCTAAGTATATTCATAAAGTATTATAAAGAGAAACTCAGTGAATGCGAGCAGTTCATAAACAATTAGGAGGAAAACCAGATGTGATTTTAAAACATACTTGAATGAACGATATGTGAATGCGTGGTATGCGATGAAGGAGAAACAGAGAAAATTTGTGGGCGTGAAATGAATTGAGATCGTGAGGAATGTATGGCTTGGAAGTCTGCGAATGGGAGGGGAATAAAAATAAGGATGTAGAATCGAGATGGGTTATTTATTCGGAACTATACGGTATTTTGATAATATTTGATACTAGTATATGTGCATAGAGAAACGTTAGAAGTCGGTGTGATGTTTGTCAGCAAGTGATTTTAGCATAAAACAATACAGTAGTATATTATATTTACTTAATGAATGCCATCTTCGTTGTTCCCTCAGTCATTCAATACAGCATCGAAAGTGCTTTTTTTTCAAAATCGTTAACTAGATTTTCAAGGCTCTTCGACAGAACCATTTGCACACATCTCACATTGAACGATAGCTGACTTCGACGATACTTTTTTGCTCAATATATTGGAGTAAAGCACCGGTTTGTTGAAATATAGCACATATTTATTGAGATAAAGGCAGTTGAAGGTTACAGAATGTGTGAGAAATACGGTTTATCAAACGCGAAATATCAATCGCAACGGCATCATGATTCATGAATTCCCAACGATGATAGCGATTAACGCATCACGATACGCTCCCGAGCAATCGGATTTGATCCAGTCGATCAATGTGTCATCGTACATACGATCGAATTCCTCTCGGATATCAACCAAATCAATTTCAGATCGCGACACAATTATGTATGTTAAATCATTATCAGCCGTTCCCAACCCCTTAACAATCTGCACAAAATTTCATTGACTTCTATGAATGCATTTGTGAATCATTAAAACCTGCCTCAACAGTGAATTCAAAGTGATTCTTTTTTTTGTCCGTGATATAAGGCAATCAATGCGAAGGATACAGGAAGAAATGAACTCAGCACAGGTTCGACGAACACAATTGACTCACCTTCATGGACTCATAAAGACGACGTGCGAAATATTTGGGTAGATTGAGAACAGACTCAGCAACTGCCAGATAAGCAGCTCTCGCATCACCACTGAATGTTTTCTGAAAAAAATCAGTGCATTCGTCCAGCTAATTACTTTCAATAAATGTGTCTTAAATGCGCTCATTTTCAGGAACATCTGCGTTCAAATGAAAAAAGTGTATTAGAGTGAAGTATGAAAGCGACCATCACGAATCGATTCTATTCACACTGCTTGATAATCAGTCCGTGCGAGAGTTCAGCCAAAATTAATGCATCATGACCAGCGCTAATTGTAAGCGTTCGAGCATTTCATTGTTGCAACGAATTAAGCGTTGTTCCCTGTTGTTCAATTGTTCAACTTTTCTCCGAATTTTGAAATTCAACCGGATAAAAGCGATTCAATCCATCGCAATAAAACTCTTTGTAAAATTTCGCAACGACATGCTCGAATTTTTAAGTATGACTGTATGCTGTGATGGTTCACAAAGGAGGACATGAATGCAAATAAGTGTACCTCAATACAGTTCAGAATACTTTCGTTCGTGAACATTTCGTACTGTTGGAAAAGCTTTTGGAGTTGTTCATAACTCTGTGAAGCGAACGCGCAATTGAATGTTACTATATCCGGCGTAATACCATCTTTTTCGCTTCCCATCAGAAGGAGAGCATCCTGAAGGAAATAAATCTACTTGTTTGATGAATAGCCACAAGAATCTATGATGGAATTTGGAAGCGTAGAAATTCGATACAACAGTTTTTTGGCCAGGTGCTTAAAATTTATGTACAAATTTGATGGATAAACGATGAATAAAACGATGAAGAGATGAAACGATGAAACAATGAAACGATTTGGTCGATATAAACGATGAATTCACACTGCACATGCAGTGGGAAATGGAACGATCGAAGAGAGATGACTTACTTACACACCTCTGTGGCCATTCGGGGTTTGACTGGAAGATTACGATCACGATGGCACTGAAGGAGTGACACAAGAAGATGTTGAAAATCACCACTTGTATCATCACGTACATCTTCTTCCAGTGATCTTTTGAACTCCTCTTTATATGCTTCCTTCAACCGCTGTTTTTCTGGATCCGTTTGTGTGCAAATAATATCGATAAGTGTTAACTCTCGCGTACCTAAGCCCTGAGGAGACAATCAATTGGAACGTAAAAATGAAAAATTGCGCATTCCTGTTTGATGTTATTATCCATTTGTACGGTTAGTGCTGAGAAATGTTTTTTTACTTATAGACCTGGCAAGAATCACTCATAGAATATGGAGCGATAGCGTAGCAGTAAAAACGTTTTATTTACTCTTTCGAGACTTATTTTAATGAACGCTTGAAGAAAGCAAACAAGAATTGCTTGACAAATTTGCAGCTGTATTCAGTCTATCGTTATCTGACAGCAATTAAAACGACCTCGCAAAGTACAATCATTCACTCCAAAGTATTTCTAGAACGAGCTTTTCGCTGAAAACTAAACCTTCATTGCATAATAGAGTTGTGTAGCATCGTATTTCAACGGTGTTTCTAGAAGCGCAAAAATCACTCCTCTAAAATCAACATCCAGAACCCTCTGAAGTTCAATCAATAAATCTTTTCCGTATTTTGTTTTGTAAACATCACGGACCTGAAAGTTTGAGAATCATATTAAAAATTGTTCGAACTAGATGTTGGGACCTCAACAAAGAAAATAAGGTATTATCAGTCCACATTGAGTGAACATGTTCCTCATATCTGGATTACCTGGATTGGCCAGGCTATCAAACGTTTGTATCCTATATCCGAATCGAACGTTTGTATCATTTCCTTATTTTCACATTTTGATAATCATTCCTCATAGTTAAGAGAAATTCTCATTTCTGAATGTTGAATTTGATAATCATTATTTCGATGCTGAATCATGGACCGGAAACTGATATTCTTTAAAGACATTTTTGTTTAATTTCAAAAAATCTAAGTTTGCGAGAGTCCGCATGCTTCGTGATGGACGATGTAACGTACGATTTGCCTTTGCTGATTGTTTATGCGGATGATTTGCTCGTAAATTTTTGTTTTATCGTACGCCAATCCCTTCATGGCATCCTCGAGTGCATCTGCGGTTCGATTCGGTCGGAAATCCGACTGCACTATTATAGAGGCTCTATAAGGTCGTCCGTTTGAAGTTTTTGTAGAGGTCAATTGCTGACTGTTAGTCGGAGTTGAAATTTCCTCCATATTTCTAAAAATTTGTCGATGTTTGATCCTATATCTGATATGGTAATATCAGCGATGAAAGGCGTGCTTTTCCGATTAAACTCTGTCCACTCTCAAGAAAATGAATGTCTTATCCAACTGTTTTGCAGTATTCGAAATTGGAAGATTCTTCCATTGAAATTTTTGATTCAATGAATACAAATGATTCCGAGTTATTACGCGAGCTAGAAAAAGCCTGCATTTGCCGTGAAATAATTCAGTTCGTAAACTCAAAGGGGATAAAGTCAATGAGAAGCAAAGCCTTGATCAATAAGAGCACAAGAAATGTCTTCGTTGAAAATCAGTAAATTCATTGTTTTGCCAACAATTTCCGACGAACTGTTACGGTAATAGGAATCCAATAATTTCAGTGTTATGACGCGGTTAAGTGACGCGAACACGCAATTAAGTTTCGAACCAGGTGAATCTAAAGCGATTTTATCGTGTCATATGAAACGAAAGGGCATCATGGACAAGCATCAATGGAATCAATCAATGTGAGAATGATATTCAAACAATGCACGCACACAATCGTTGTCATACAAAACCATCGCACCAATAATTCAACGCTATGAATAAGGCAAACATCAGTATGCAGAACAACAGAACAAATCTAATTGCTCATGTGTTTCTAGTGTGTTTGCGTTTCTTGCTTTCACATCGGGAGTGGGTGCTTACAAATACTATCACACATGAACATTTCTTTATCAAGCATAACCCAAACTGAATTTTCGTTGTTCTTTTCAAAACGATACTATTAGTACTATAATAAGTACGTTGTTAATAGTTAGTTATGCATTATTATAAATTAGTAATGCTGATTTAATGTACCATCGATTCTAGCATGAACGTGTTCTAATTGAGAACTGCATGTCCATCATTGTCGTTTTCAAGGCACAATTAGAGACGCTACACAGAGCAAAAACGGGCAGTACCACATTAAACAAATCATTCGGTAGTTCATAATTTCCAAAGTGTGAATCAGTTTAATCGCAAGTGAATGGCTTAGTAATCCTTTAACGATAATCATAAAAAAGAGTCAAAAACATTGAAAAATGAAGCAGTAAAAATGGCTTAGCATGGTACTGGCATGGTGCTCAAATTGAATCATCACAATTTCTGGCAAATTGTGATGATTCAATTTGAAATGGAAAAAATACGAAGAAAAATGAAATTTGGCGAATTGCGATGAATAAAAAATTATTTTGTGAAAAAAATAGAATACGAAGCAAAATGGTACATTCTGATACGTTACACAGAATTTAAAGCAGTAGGAACGAAGTGATTGACTGACAATATTTCAGATTGGTTCAATATTGCTAATTACCATTCACAAGTTTCACGAGTGTTTCACAGTACTCCCCTGAGCATTCGGATTTGATAAAGTCCACCAGCGATCTCTTATAGGTTTTTTCGAACTTTTTACTGACTTCCGCGAGATCGATTTCTGATCTTGATACAATAATACCAATTAAATCCATATCATCCGTACCTAAGCCCTAAAAATCGTTTAAATGTTTTTTGTTACTTCAAAATTTTCAGTAAGTAGCGCTGTTTGCATGCCATTCTTCAAAACGAGTCAACACATTTCGATGACTTTAAAGGTTTCTTCAGTTACCTTCATTGATTCGTACAAACGACGAGCAAAATATTTTGGTGCATCTTGAATGGAGTCAACAATTGCTAAGTATGCAGCTTTTGCATCTCCGCTGAATGTCTTCTGAAATCTTCGTTTCATTGCTTTGTCGCGCTCTGAATGAATACAACATTAGAGCTCATAATGCCTGAGCTAAGCTGTATCAAAATACTTTCACTTATCGTTCAACAAGCATCTGAAAATGCTTGAATGTTGATGTTTAATTATTCAACCTCGATTCCCTTTTGGATTGTTTGACCAGAGAGCAACTGATATTCATCGAAGAGCGTTTCGAGTTGTCGATAATTCTCATTTGCAAAGGCCATCTTGAACGTTTCTTTGTCCGGTTTCAATTTCAGATCCTTGTTGCCGAGCATTCGTTTCGCTTCCTAGAAATCGCATTTCTTACACGCTCCTGTATGCCTGTTTGCACGACATTTTCATTCTTTCCCATTCACAATGCAAAATTTATCGAATTTGCATGAGTAATTGATTGATTCTTTACTTGAAGGATTCCAAAGAACAGTATTTATTTCATTTGATGTGCCACTGAGTGGAGACTATCACTTCAGTTCTTCACTAAGTATCTCTGAATATCGATTTCTTCATGTCATCGATATCGCTCTCAATAAGGAACTGCATCAGTAATTTCAGATTCTCCTCCAAACTTACGTGATATTTCCAGATACCCAAATTTCTGATCAAGGCTTCAACGTTTCATCCAACAGTGAGTTCTTGATCGAGTTGAATTTTTCGCTTTCATCATCTTTGTTCTCTACTCAAAATGTCCTAAACTAACATTTCTCGCCAGATTCACGTCCACATCATCGCCCTCGTCACGTGTGCATTGCACTAAAGCAACCAATATTTCTTCAAAGTCACCGCTTGTATCAGACGTAATGTCTGTGTCAAGCGATTGACCAAATTCCATGTTGTACGCACTTTTGATTGCTCGAATCTCGTTGACTGTTCGAGTGCAAAGAATATCTATCAAAATTGACTCGGTTGTACCAAGTCCCTGAAAATTTTACAATAACTCATTCATTCATCATTTAGCATCTTGAATACCTGAACTCGGACAATGAGTATGTCCACCAAACAATTGAACTATCATATAACTTTACAGCCAGCTAAGAAAGGAAATAATGCTTTCCCTCACGCTGTTCACATCAATAATTCTGTGAAATTTATTCACATCATTCAAGTTCTTGCTTGACTCTACACTGCGCTTGAACACTGAACAACATTAGCTTTATGATTGTGAAAGATGAGACATTGTTTCAATAGTGATGCAATTGTGTTCAAAATTAATGCTACTGAAGCATCCAATGAATGCCATTAATACTTAGTTTTGAAGGAAACGAATAACCTTCATTGAATAACGCAAATGACTGGCATCAAATGTGGCTGGCGGTTCCATCAGAGCAACGATAACCTGCTCGAAATCACCAGACAACTCTTTTTTCAGCTCATCCATCAAATCCTTCCCATACGTCCTTTGATATTGTTCTCGTACCTGAGGCAGCCGGAAAATGCATGTCATCAATGGCAACTTGCCAGCACCGCATAAAGAATTAAAATTGCTAAGCAAAAAAAAATTCTGAGCACTTTTTCCAATCGGTTCAGGTGACATCCTTGACCTCGAACTGCATTATCATTAATGACACTGTATTATGATTAATATCGTGATAGCATTCAACGAACGCTAATAATACATTCATAAAATCTATAGTAAGTTGCCACTTTCTAAACTCAAATTGCAAGACGATGTCTCGAACTGACCGAATGTTCTACTGAATCTCATCACATAGTTCAGTGTGCAGCTGTGTCCGATAAAAAAATTCGACGAATGCAATGGAAAATCGAGGAAGTAAATGTATTGAAAGTGAACGAAGTGACG